CTGATGTCTCCAGGTACCTCTGGGGAGTGAAGTAACAAGGAAGAGAAACATTAGTTGTATTCTGCATTGTTTGAATGTAAATACATTCATGTATAAACAGCATAATATTTTTTAAAACACCAGAGTTTTTCTTGCTCACCATTGTATCTAAGCACTCAGCATAGTCCCTGACAGGTAATGTTTGTTTAATAAATGCAGCCTAAGGGAAGAGGACTTACTGTTAATGCTAAATCTCCTGCTAGTGAACAGATGCTGTGGTCATGCTAAATTCTTCCTATTTCAAATATAGTTTGGTCCGGGAATTGCTAATAGAAACTTGAAGGCTAAGCCAGAGGGATGTATGTGTTTGTAATGAAAGTTACTATTGTGTGTCTGACACTGTGGGAGTTTATATCTGTTGCATCTAATCTAAACAAGCACCCTGCAAAGTACTTGCTCTTATACCCATTTGACAAATTAGGAAGCCTAAGGCTTAGGTAAGGGACTGACTCATTTTGGTGTGTTCTTTTTCCTTTTCCTGTTAGTGCAATTTGACATTTGCACAATTCTTAACAAATAGAATGTGGTCAGTTCTCAAAAGAACTTCCTTCCGAGACCCTCATTGTTATACAAAATTACATATAAGAGGATGTGAGGGGAAAGGGAAAAAAAGTCAAGGGAGAGAAATGAATTACAGTAGATGGGGTAGAGAGAGAAGATGGGAGGGGAGGGGAGGGGAGGAGGGATAGTAGAGGATAGGAAAGATAGCAGAATACAACAGTCACTAGTATGGCAATATGTAAAAACGTGGATGTGTAACCGATGTGATTCAGCAATCTGTATATGGGGTAAAAATGGGAGTTCATAACCCACTTGAATCAAATGTATGAAATATGATATGTCAAGAGCTTTGTAATGTTTTGAACAACCAATAAAAAAATAAAAATAAATAAAAAAAGAACTTCCTTCCACCAGTGTTTCACTTGTTATTAGTTTATTTTTTTAGACAACTTATACAATGGTTTAAAAATTAGTAGATCTGGGGATGTGGCTCAGTGGTCAAGTGCCCCTGAGTTCAATCCCTGGTACCAAAAAAAAAAAAAGAAAAGAAAATTAGTAGAAAAACAATTGATAGAAGAAATAAGTTCTGGTTTTGTATAGCACAGAGGGATGACTATAATTCATAATAATTTATTATATATTTTATGAAACTTTAGAAGAGAGGAGATCAAAGGCTCCAAACATAAAGGAATAGTAAAGAAAAGGAAATACTAATTATGCTGATTTGATCACTGCACACTATATGCATACAATTAACTGTCACAGTGAACCTATTAATATTTGCAATTAGTTTTTAAAATATAGAAAACACCTGGCATCAAATTGTATTCAGTTCAAGGTAAGTCTTCCTCTATATACTCCCTGATGAAACAGTTGACAATTTCTTTGTGCTCCATTTGTGTACAATGAATCAAAATGCATTCTGCTGCCATGTTTAACTAATTAGAACAAAATTTTTAAATGATCCAGCATTATACAAGGCATAAAGGATGACACAACATTAATAAAAATTGCTTAAGCCATTTTATGCTTTTTAGAAATTGACTTTTTTTAAAAAATAGGAAAGCAGGTATACTATTTTTTTTAAATGTTACAACATATGTATCTATAATTATGTTGGTAATTTTCTAATATATGTGTGTGTGTGTGTGTGTGTGTGTGTGTATAT